TATATGTGTATTATGTATTATGTATTATGTATTATGTATTATGTATTATGTATTATGTATTATGTATTATGTATTATGTATTATGTATTATGTAGTTTTATGTATTATGTATTATGTATTATGTATTATGTTTTATGTATTATGTTTTATGTTTTATGTTTTATGTTTTATGTTTTATGTTTTATGTTTTATGTTTTATGTTTTATGTTTTATGTTTTATGTTTTATGTTTTATGTTTTATGTTTTATGTTTTATGTTTTATGTTTTATGTTTTATGTTCTATGTTCTATGTTCTATGTTCTATGTTCTATGTTCTATGTTCTATGTTCTATGTTCTATGTTCTATGTTCTATGTTCTATGTTCTATGTTCTATGTTCTATGTTCTATGTTCTATGTTCTATGTTCTATGTTCTATGTTCTATGTTTATGTTTATGTTTATGTTTATGTTTTATGTATTATGTATTATGTATTATGTATTATGTATTATGTAGTTTTATGTATTATGTATTATGTTTTATGTTTTATGTGTTTTATGTTTTATGTTTTATGTAGTTTTATGTTTTATGTTTTATGTTTTATGTAGTTTTATGTATTATGTAGTTTTATGTATTATGTATTATGTATTATGTATTATGTATTATGTATTATGTATTATGTATTATGTATTATGTATTATGTATTATGTATTATGTATTATGTATTATGTATTATGTATTATGTATTATGTATTATGTATTATGTTTTATGTTTTATGTTTTATGTTTTATGTTTTATGTTTTATGTTTTATGTTTTATGTTTTATGTTTTATGTTTTATGTTTTATGTTTTATGTTTATGTTCTATGTTCTATGTTCTATGTTCTATGTTCTATGTTCTATGTTCTATGTTCTATGTTCTATGTTCTATGTTCTATGTTTCTATGTTCTATGTTCTATGTTCTATGTTCTATGTTCTATGTTTTATGTTTTATGTTTTATGTTTTATGTTTTATGTTTTTATGTTTT